GTAACACCAGTTCTGAAGGTTCTCGCAAAATTCGTTGAACACTGCATGGAAAGTGTCTCAGATGTGCAGTTCTTTGTCTTTGCCTGCAGCCCCAATAGTGATGCCTCTTCTCTTTACATTTCCTCTCATGGCCATTTTAAGGTCTTCATTCCTCTATGCACTTGTACTTCCAAGGCCCACATCATTCCAGACATAATGAAATGCATACCCTTCCTGCTTTGGATATATTCGCTCACAGATACATGGGAACTGGATCCAATTGCATTTGATTGGTTGAAATAATACTGGGTAGGCATTTAAAAATTTGTCCATTTCAGTTTTCTCGTGTTGGGTTTTCTTCCTTCATATTCTGAAGCTTTAAGTCTCAAAAGTTTTTATAAACACTGGGCCTTTTGCTCATGATGCTTAGGGGGATGAAACAGCCCAGCCTTCTCTATCTTAGCAACACGAACCAATCTTGCGGTTGCCATTAGTTTTCTGTGTAGATACTGACTCAGAGACCACCATTTACCCTCCCTGCTGAGCCCGAGACCCACCTTCCCATCTTCCCATTGATGCACTCCACTGAGTGGCAGGCCTGGACCTCCAATTGAGGTCGAGCAGTATTCGTTTCTAGTGGGCATGAGCACTGAATGAATTGATGCATGTGTAGCACTCAGGACACAACTGTGCAGACAGTAAGCATGCATATGGTAAAATTTAACAATTATTTATTACATGATTTGGTCAGAGTTAAGAGTGGAAAGGCGAGTTGGAGAAACAATTTAGTAGGCAATTGCAAATCAGAGCAAAAGATAAAGGAAGGTAAAAGATAATCGGCAGTTGCCATGGTAAGGATGAGATGGAAGAGTAATGAAATCTGTGGGACTTCAGTGTGTTCTTTTCCTCCAAATTATGTATAGTTACTACACTTGGAACGGTTACAATCTTCTGTGTATACACCACAACTCATTTTCCCATTCTTGTGCTGATGGGTATTTATGCTGTTTCCAGGTTTTGTTTGGGGTTTTGTTGTTTGCTAACTGTAATGGAAATTCCTGTACATGTCTTTTGGTGCATTGATGTACATTTGTGCTGGATATACACCTAGTGTGCAATAGCTTACCCATTCACCTCCACAAACTGTGCACACATATTTTATTGGGTAATGCCAAATTGTTTTCCGAAGTGATTGTACCAATTGGTACCACCACCAGCAAAAAATAAGTGTTCCAGTTGCTCCACATATTTGCCGACATTTAATACCGTCAGACTCTTGAAACTTGTAATATAGTGGGCGTATTAGTCAGGGCTCTCCGTAGAACCAGACCAATGTTTTATAGATATATATGTATGTAAAACATAGAGATTTACTGGCCAGGCATGGTGGCTCACACCTCTAATCCTAGCACTTTCGGAGGATGAGGTGTTCAAGACCAGCCTGAGCAACATAGTGAGACCAATACTTTAAAATTAAAAAACTGAGCCAGGTGTTGGGGTGCACACCTATAGTCTTGGCTACTCAGGAGGCTGAGGCAGGAACTTGAGCCAAGGAGTTCAAGGCTGCAGTGAGCTATGATTGTGCCACTGCACTCTAACCCAGGTGACAGAGCGAGATCCTGTCTCAGAAAAGATAAATAAAATATAGAGATCTATTTTGAGAGATTGGCTTGTGATCATGGAGACTGAGAAGTCCCACAGTACCATCTGCAAGCTGGAGGCCCAGGAAAGTAGGTAGTGTTGTTCCAATCCAAATCTGAAGGCTTGAGACTGTGAAGCCAGTGATGTAAGTCCCAGTACGAATCTTGAATTCCTGAGAACCAGAGCAGCGAGGTCCCAGGGCAGATGAACATCCCAGCTCAAGGACTGAAAGAACAAATTCACCCTTCTGCTTTTTGTTCACTTGGGCTCTCAAGGATTGGATGATGCCCACCCACATTGGTGAGGGTGACTTTCTTTATTGATTCAATTGCTGATCTCTTCCAGAAACACCCTCAGACAGCCCCAGAAATAATGTTTTACCACCTACCTATCTGGGCACCCCTTAGTCAAGTTGACAAAATTAACCATCACAGTAAGTATGATATCTCACTGCAGTTTGAGTTGCATTTCCCCTCACTGGTGAGGCTGGCCATTTTTGTTTAGGCCCTTTGTATCTTTAACACTTGAACCAGAAACTCTTGACATAACAGGAAGAAATTAACAGGCTCCCCATGTGGCCATCTTTGGTAGGTCCTGACCCAAGTGGTACGGTTCTACCTGCCCATCTAACAGAGGCCCACACCAGTCTCCATGCAGAGTAGTTCAAAGAGCTCTAAAGGCAATCCAGAGTAGCCTGCTAATAAATAATAAAGGTAGAGAACTGGGTTGGAGGCAATCCAGAGGTGACCTTTAAGGGTGGCAGGTGTGTCCAGAACAGGCAAGTCAAAGCGGAGGTCAGAGTTGCAGGTGACAGGTCCAGGGTCTAGCAAGGTACTATGGACCTAGTTGCAGGTTTCGAGAATCCCTCACAGGCTTGAGGCAAGGGAATTTGGGGCAATAATCCCGGCTACAGCGTGGAAGTAAACTGGCAGTGGGAGAGGCCACTTAGGAAAAAGTGTTGGGACACTTCAGACAAGGTATTTATTACGTGTGCAGACAGCACTGCTTGATGGCATGGGAAAAATCATCAGTCCCAGGGACTGACACAGCAGCCTGAAAGCTCCCGTGTCAGAGATGAATGGGGACACAGTATGCCAAGGTGACTAAGAGGCTGGGCCTTTGCCAGCTCTGGTCTCGAAAACCTGACGCACCACTACCTGGCTGTGTAATCCTGAGCAAGTGACTCGTACCTCCGGGCCTTTCTCCATCTTAAATGGGTACAAAAGGGTTGTTACAAGGATTGAGTTGGCCAGTGTGTGTCAAGCACAGTGTCTGGCACATGTTACAGTGAACACTCATTTAGCTGTTATTGAGAGCATCCTGCAATTACTCAGAATGGAAAGAAAATACAAACTGGGAAGTTTTTGGGGGGTAAGGATAACCCAAAACAGAGAAGCTTCTGCTTAACAACTGATGCATAAGAAAATTAAGTACATGTGAACGAATAACCTGAACATGCCAACCAACATTTCTGTAAATATTTATTGAACACCTATGTGTCTGATACTTCCAGGGACTGGGAAATGGCAATGAACCAGTCTATCTATGCCCCAAATGTATTAATGTATCCATGGTCAGTCCAGAGACAAAGAAAGGAGCGCACACGGTCCACAGCACTGTACAGGTTAACACACTATGCAGTCTTGGATGTGCAAAGCGCTGGGAAACCCAGCTGAATTTTAGTGATGCTGTCTCTAGGGTGACTTTGCCGCCCTAAAGGCTGACAGGTCAAATCAGGACAAGCTGAAAATGGAACCAGAAAAGCCAACACTGACACTAAACCTCAGCAGATACCAAGCAGGCCTAACAGCACAGTCACGGAAGCCTACTTAGCAGCTAGTTCTTACCATCTTCACCACGAAACTGGAGGGCTACTGGACACTCCTGAAGATAATCCCAAGACCCTTGTCCAATAAACAGGCACACATGTGGATGTTAATACCTTTTAATGTTTCACATTTTTTCCCAGAAGATTTGTAATAAAAATACATGGAATTTAGTCTGTGTTTCAATACACTGGGCAATTACAGAACCTAAACAAGACAAGTCTATAAAGTATAGTCCTTCTTGTGGGGACATTAACTTCCCATTCCACTAAGACAGAATCGCAACATGATCAGGCACAATTATCTCATACTGCCTACTGTTCTAATTTCAGAGATTGGCAGACTTGGAGAAAAAACAAACTAAAAAAATAAATAAATAAAACAAGTCAACTGCCTCAATTCCCCTCTCCCCTTTCCCATGTCCTTCATATAACCAGATGGGATAAGGACAAGAGGCAGAGCCCGTGGGACAGGGTCAGGTATTCTGCTGACTAGATGCCAGGTAGACACATGGGTTCCCTGAGGTGGCCCAGAAATACACATTGAAGCAACCACTCAGTGCTGTAGCTGAGAAATACAGGTGGGCAGGGAACAGAAAAGGGCAGGGAAGGGCAGGGAACAGAAAAGGAGCTACAACAACTGCTGGCAGGAGGCCTGATATCCACAGCACATGTTCAAAACTCAACTTATAATCCTTAGCCAGTACATTTACATAGAAATATATAACTGAAGAGTTAATTGTCTTTATAATAATACAAGTTGGAGTACTAACAGCATAAATACTTCTGCAAACACTTTAGCAGGTATGGTTGTTCATTCAACGCTAAAGTCAAAACCACTTGGTTTTTAAATGAAAATCCTTCACATCCACCTGTGTTCAATAATAATAATAACTTATGATATTAACAGCTTCCTTTAAAAAGCAATCACCACAAAAGATTTAAATCACGAGTATGAAAAGGCCTATTTTCCTATGAAGGTAATTCTTAGGAAGGGATAGATCCCTAACACATACAAAATAAAGCTGTGATATTTTGTGTTTTTAGCATAAAGCTAGACAAAAAAGAGTTTTAAACAAGCTATGTGTTTTCCATTGCTAACGATCTCAGCTCACTTAGACCACATAATAAACTAAATAAAGTAAGACATTTACTGTTTTTCCTCCATTTTCAAGTGTATGTCTGCCTCCGTGATGAACAGTGGTGGGAAACATACACATTTCATGGAGTGGAATATGACTTCAAATAGTCTGGCCAAGTAGCCATTTCCCTTCCTAAACAGGCCTTAAAATAATCAGCGATGTAGCACGTGGGGGCAAATTTGGCCAGAGTCAGTCACAGATTTGCTTGTTTTGGGCATGTAACTTGTTAGAGGAGAAACTGCTGCACAGGTCAGTAAAGTAGAACAGTCCATCTTAGTCATAAGACAGTTCTCTTGGACGGGACAAGCCTACGTAGCTTCCAAGTGAGCCAACTCATCCCTTCCATGCAACCAGACACCTGATCTGTATAGTCCAGCCATGACCTGCTTTTGGATAAAAATCAGTTGCTAACATTTTCATCTCTAACATCATTAACATCATGGAGAAAAAAAGAAAAAACAAACAACGTTAGAAAACTTGACAATGGGAATAAGAAAACCAACAAAGGAAAGGTCATGCTAAAACTGATCCGACAGCTGTTCCGTCACTGCCCACCATACATACAGGCTTGAGGCTGGTGACTTCATGGACGCATCCCTTCGATGCACTGCCTGATGTCAGTTTCGAGTCCGTCAGAGCGACCCCAGTGTGATGCTGCCTGCCTTTCATTCACTGATTCCTAACCATGAGATCCAAGGGGGCCTTGGATGGTGGCAGGCACAAGACACAAGTGCCAGGAGCCCAAGAACCTTCCTGAAAACTTTGCCTTGGATTGGGCAAGGAAACATATCAGTGGTTTGGAGTCTTGGCAACAGCATCCACACTGGGACTTAACCTCAGCAGCCAGTCTGGAGGATGCTTCCCCCAGAGCGCTTGGTCACGGACAGTGTTGTGAAGACCTGCAGGGGAAGAGGAAGAGTGACATTTTCAGACACCTGAGCAAATGAATTATCAGGGAGTAGTCCAGATAACATTGCATATATTAAAAATGACTTATGTGACTACTTAAAATTAATAAAATGGAGAAGTAATGTGAGGATATCCTCTATTTCTCCAGAGGATAAAAGAAAGAAAACATATTAAAAGCAAGGTGAAAGAGAAAAAAATTTAGAGAATTGACATTGTTAAAATGTACATACTAATCAAAGTGATTTACAAATTCAATGAAATCACCATCAAATTACCAACGTCATGCTGCACAGATCTAGAAAAAGTAATTCTATGCTTTGTTTGGAACCAGAAATGAGGCCAAGTAGCCAAAGCAATCTTAAGCGAAAGACCAAATCTGGAGGCATTTCATTACCAGACTTCAAACTATACTACAAGGCTATAGTAACCAAAACAGCATGGTATTGGTACAAAAACAGAAACATAGACCAATGGAACAGAACAGAAAACCCAGACATAAAGCCATCTACCTACAACCAACTGATCTTTAACAAAGCAGACAACAACATACGCTGGGCAAAAGAAGCCCTATTCAATAAATGGTGCTGGGAAAATTGGATAGCTACATGCAGAAGAATGAAACAGGACCCCTACATTTCACCACTCACAAAAATTAATTCAAGATGGATAAAAGACTTAGATCTAAGGCATGAAACCATAAAAATACTAGAGGAAAATATAGAAAACACTTTTCTAGATACTGCCCTAGGCAAAGAATTTATGACTAAGACCCCAATGGCAATCATGGCAACAACAAAAATTAATAAATGGGATGTGATAAAAGCTTCTGCACAGCTAAGGAAACAACAGAGCAAACAGACAACCTCCAGAATGGGAGAAAATATGTGCAAGCTACACATCCAATAAAGGGCTAATGTCCAGAATTTACAAAGAACTCAAGCAAATCAGCAAAAAACCCCAACCCTATTAAAAAGTGGGCAAAACACATGAACTGAAGCTTCTCAAAAGACAAAGGGCCAAAAAACATGAAAAAATGCTCAACGTCACTAATCATCAGGGAAATGCAAATTAAAACCACAATGAGGTATCTATCACCTTACTCCAGTTAGAATGGCTTTTATTAAAAAGTCAAAAAACAATAAAGGCTGGTATGGATGTAGAGAGAAAGAAACGCTTATAAACTGTTGGTGGGACTGAAAATTAGTACAACCTCTATAGAAAACAGTATGGAGATTCCTCAAAGAACTAAAAGTAGACCTACCATTCAATCCAGCTATTGACTACTAGGTATTTACCTAAAGGAAAAGAAGACTTTTCATCAAAAAGACACCCGCACTCAAATATTTATTGCAGCACAATTCACAACTGCAAAGATGTGGAATCAACCCAAGTGCCCATCAATTCATAAGTGGATTAATAAAATGTGGTATATGTATACCATGGAGTACTACTTAGCCATAAAAAGATGAATTAATACCTTTTGCAACAATTTACAGTAATCAAACAGCATGGTATTAGTGAAAATACACAGATTAGTGGGACAAAATAAAGAACCCAGAAATGGACTCATTGCAACAGATGGAACTGGAGACCCTTCTCCTAGGTGAGTATCTCAAGAATGGAAAAACAAACACCACACGCACTAACTATTAAACTGGAACTAACCGATGAGCACACATGTGCACAGAGGGAAGTAAAACTCAGTGGAAATCAACCAAGGGGGAGTGGGGAGAAGGGGAGTGGCAAAAGTCTACCTAATGGGTACAATGAACACTATCTTGGTGACGGGCATACCTATAGTGGAACTCAAGCATTACAAAAGCAATCCATGTAACCTAAAACATTTGTACTCCCCTAATATTTTGAAATTAAAAAAAATTATTTTGCACTTAAAAACACAAAAGCTCAGCAAGATTTTTTGTGCACATATATAAGGTTATTTTTAATTTTATATGAAAAAGCACTAACCCTAGAATAGCTAAAATAATTATTGAAAAAGAATAAAGTACATGAATGATTTTACTAGATATTAAGGTTTAGTACACAGTTATAGTAATCAAACAGTATGATATTAGTGGAAATACACAGATCAGTGGAACAGAATAAAGAATCCAGAAATGGACTCATGCAAATATGCCCAACTCATTTTTGACAAAGGTACAAAAGCAACTGAAGGAAGAAGGCTTTGTCTTTTCAAGAAATTGTACCAGAGAAAATGAACATCCATATGCTAAAAAATCTCGACTAAACTTCACACCCTACAAATGAATTAACTAGAAATGGATTACAAACTTAAATGCAAAATGCAATACTATAAACCTAGAAAAGAAATCCTAGAAAAAAATCTTTGGGATCTCAGGATAGACAAAGGTTCTTGGTTATTATTTAAAAGTATCTTTTAATAAATTTTCACTTTCAATAATTAAAAAAAGAAAGTTTAGGTTGCATCTAATGAAGAATTTTATTACGATTGAAACAATTAAATCAGTTACCCTAGTTGCTTGTCAACTCTCTAGAAGAAATTCACCATGAAATATTCTGGATATATAGACAGGTATACGGTATGCTATTATAAACACCCATGTGCCCACAGTTACAGACCCTCCCTGATGGCCTTCTCTTCTCTACCCTCCACCCAATCAGCGCTTATCATTCCTACGCATTTCTTCCTGCGTTTCTTTTGTAGTTTTAAAAAAATTTTTACATGCAAATGGCAAGATGGTGTATGTATTCTTCTGCTACCTGCTTTCTTGGCTCAATACTGTACTTCTGTAATTCACCCATATGGATACAAATAGCTCTAATTCTTTCATTTTTCACAGAATGGAAGTTCAATTCAATTGCTATAGCGGGTGTGTGCGTGTGCATGTATATATGTATAAAGTAAAATAAAATCTTAAGCCCTCCAGCTGACTGAATGGACCCCTGCTCCTGGCCAAGGGGACCCCAGAAATAGCCTAAAGCTGAGCTGCTGGCCATGAGAAAGGAGGTCAGACATGCCTCCTCCTGTCCCCCTCCCTTCCTAGATATACCCTTTGTAACTCATTAACAGGCCTAAGGCTATACAAGACAAAGCTTAAACCACACCTGCAGGTCACCCATTTACTTAACAGATCGGGTGAGTCTGGGTATATGTCTGTGGCTTGTCTCTGATGAGCAGACTCTTATCTTAACTCAAAATTCCAAGCCTTTAGTTAGACAAACCTTCATTTCTTTAACCAATTACAAATCAAAGAATCTTTAAATCCACCTATAACCCATAATTCCCTGCTTCAAAATGTCCTGCTTTTTCAGGTCAAACCAATCAATGTATACCTTCCATGTAGTAATTTATGACTTTACGTGTAATTCCTGTCTCCCCGAAATGTATAAAACCAAACTGTAACCCAGCCATGGTAAGACCGCTTACTCTAGGATCCTTGGGCGTGGCTCTCCTGGCCATGGATATTCAGCTCAGAATAAACCTCTGTAAGTTATTTACTGAGTTTGAGTTCTTTTCCATTGACATATATATACCATATATATAGTGTATACTGTAGTATTGAAGTAGTCACATGGTGAAGATATTACAAATCACGTATCTGGGGCTCCTTCTGCTGGCCATCCAAGCTGTTGCCAATGTGCTCTTTGCCATATGCTGCTGTGACATTCTAGCACGTCTCCCTGCACAAGAGAGGTGGAACTGCTAGGTAGGATGGTGGGTGAAACTTCGACTTGACTGGATTTCCAAGGTGCCTGAACTGACTAATACTCTCATTTGCAGTGACTAACAAGTTCCCCTTATTTCCTATCTTTGCTAACATTTGGTGGTTGTAGACTTAAAGCCTTAACAGATTTAGGCAATTTTTACTTGTTTACTGCTCAAGATTACCTACACATAAAAACAAAAATGCTTTTGAATAAAGAAGATGCTTTTGTGTGAAGGAGAAACAATATGAGAAAAGCCTTTGGTCTACTTTAGCCTCAGAGAGTGACAAAGCCTTCATTCCTCAAAAAATTCAGAGCCAAGTATTAATGGGCAATATCTTACAACAACATTTAAAATACAAACCCAGAAGAAAATATGGAAAATTCACATCCAAAAAAAATAGTAATTATAAGAGGTTCATCCATGTTAGCAAAGATATGTAAAAATCCTTGAATTAGTTATCCCTTTTTACTTTACTATAGAAAAAATATATTGACACTGAATTTTGCAACATTTTCATTAGCACTTATATTCAATGCCGATGACATTATAAACTAGTACAACTTTTTTGAAAAGTAATAGAATTCCTGTGTTTAAAAAAATGTGTGAGGGCCGGGTGCGGTGGCTCACGCCTGTAATCCTAGCACTCTGGGAGGCCGAGGCGGGAGGATTGTTTGAGCTCAAGAGTTCGAAACTAGCCTGAGCAAGAGCGAGACCCTGTCTCTATTAAAAATAGAAAGAAATTAATCGGACAACTAAAAATACATAGAAAAAATTAGCCGGGCATGGTGGCACATGCCTGTAGTCCCAGCTACTCAGGAAGCTGAGGCAGAAGGATCACTTGAGCCCAGGAGTTTGAGGTTGCTGTGAGCTAGGCTGACGCCACGGCACTCACTCTAGTCCGGGCAACAAAAGCGAGACTCTGTCTCAAAAAAAAAAAAAAAAAAATGTGTGTAGAGGACACTTTGTCTGGGAACAATTCCTTGTTGTTCTTCTCAAGAACATGCCTGTGGCCTTGCATGCAAAGCCAGGGCACCCTAACCCTGCAAATAGGAGGGGCTAGAGAGTTTAGATGCAAACATCTGCTTGCCAGAGACGAAACAACAAGGAACAGGGACGTGTTGAGTCAGGACAGTGTGGGAACAAAGAAATTGCAGTGGGACAGTTGCCAAACAGGCTGTGTTAAAAATAAACCGCTGCAGCAGGAAAAATGGCTGCAGTCTTATACCGTCTTTGTATGTCTGTGTCTCTTTGTAGTGGCTGCAGTCGTGTACCGTCTTTATGTGTGTCTACGTCTTTTTG